TTTCGCGCAATATTATCCACATTTTATGTGAAGACATCATTTCCTTTTTGATTTTTGTAATCAATTGAAGTGAAGAAGACCCTGTTTCAGCAAACTGATTTGTTGTTTTAGTAGTTGTTGTCTAGGGGAAAAGAAAATGGAAAAAATAGAATGCTTCAATTATCTATAGAGTAAAATTTAGAAAATTGGTTTTGCAGATTCAATGTCAGTGTGGAATCTTCTTAGACAGTTCCAGATCAGAAAGGTTCACATGGCTGTTGTTCTTAATGGATATGGCAGAACTGTTGGGGTATGTGCAAAGCCTCATATTGAAACTCTACTTAAACAGAATCATTCATTGTGTTGAGATTTTTTATTATGATAAAGTTCCAACTTCTGCCTTTTTATTTATTTTTATTTTGTGACGCATGTCAACTTATGCTAACTTGTAATTTCTTGAAACAATACGAGACAACATTTTTGATATTTTGAACTTTATTCTACAGTTAGATGCTAACAATGCTTCCCCTGTTAAGAGGCTAAAAAACTAAACAAAATTTTTTCAATTGCAGTTAAAAGTCCTAAAGAGAAAACCTTATTCTTTATTAGCTTGTTCTTTTTGCCCACTTGAAGTAGTATTTGTTCATTGTTTGTTGGTATCCAAATGCCATAACATAAACTGTATAAAACGAACGATGGTAAAAAGTCAAACAGGATAATATGCTGACCACTTAAAATCTAAATGATTGGTATGAGCCCTCAATCCTTAACTCATGAGCTCCTAGCATTAGGATGTTATTCAAATCTTACAACTTCAGAAGGTTTGGCATGTAACATTACTATCAGGTTCAACATGGTAAAGGAGACAGAGGAGTTCCCGGCAATTGAAACTAGAATGCTCTCTCATATGTTTTGAAATAATTTTTCTTCTAAAGTTCAGACGAGTGGAATATGCAGCATGAGAACACAAAAAGTCTAGAACTTACCATGCATGGGTTTTCTTTCTCTTTTGGATTGCTTATTTAACAGTAATTGTGCTCATTTTATTGACTGATTGATTTTATATATTTATGTACTCATTTTTTTATGGAGCAGATAGTAACCTTAGAAGGTGTGGTTGAGGAGATTGTTGGAGACATCTTTGATGAAATTGATTCAAAGGGAAGCCTAATTACCTCATCAATGACCTTAATGTTCTGTTACTGAATCTGTTATTGGGGGCAAGTCTTTTAACTATATAGATAACTTTAGATATTGGATTCTATTATTCCTCAGCAAGGGGATGCTAAGAAAACTTGTTGATGAAGTC